GAAGTCGCACAGCGCGATATGGCCAGTGTAATCGAGAAGAATATTCTCTGGCTTGAGATCACGGTAGATGACCTTGAATCCGTGCAGACATTCCAAAGCACAGAGAAGCTCAGCGGTGTAGAATCGAGCGCGGTTGATATCGAACCGCTGTTCCCGCTGAAGATGGTGGAACAGCTCACCTCCGTTGACAAAGGCTAGAACAAAGTACAATTTCTCCGGCGACTGGAAGGAGAACTTCAAAGGAACAATGAAAGGATTGTTGATCTGGGCGAGTACTGATCTCTCCGCCAGGGTGTGTGTCACCTCGGAGCGGGAGATGATGTGAGCTTTGCGAATGGTCTTGAGGGCGTAGATCCGACCAGTATCCTTCTTCATGACCTGCATGACCTTGCCAAAACTACCCTTACCAACGACCTTAAGAAGTTCGAAATCCTCCAGCTTCATGCTGCGATGTTTGTTCTCGACGAACGAGACACCAACCTTGATGGAACCGGAGCCGAACTGAAGATCCAGCCATTCCGCGCCAAGTTGGCCAAACTGACGTTCTTGTGGCTGCTTGTTGTCCTTCTTGCTCTTGGGGTCCTCTGCGTGGGGCAGAGCTTCCTCAAAACGAGGATGGACCTTGACAGCACCGAGGAAAATATCCTCACTGCGACCGGCACCTGGACGAGCGGCAGGGTTACGAAGATAGAGTTGGACATTCAATTCGGTTTTGCGCGAAACGTCGAACTTGTAAGCAGTGTTGTCGCCCGCCCAAAGGGGGTTTTCCGGCGATCCAGACACGGCATCGACGAAGACCTGATTCTTCTCGAAATCCAAGAGGGCGTAAGGAAGGTATTTGGTGGAGTAGCGACCATGGATGGTGGGGGCAGCATTGATGCCTCCACTCGTCGACTGTGGGCGGGCGCTTTGTACGAAGGATCCGGCTTGGCCATGAGCGGAGTGGGAGGAGGATGAACTGGGACGCATGCCATAGGCATTGCTGCTCTGGAAGTGCGAGTTGAAGATTTGTTGATAATGAGGCGAAAGAGCGAAACCTCGACCTTCATGGAGGGTGACAATCAAAATTCCGGGCTTGACAGGGGCCACGGGCGGGGAAACCAGCGATTCCGAGGCATCTAGAGCAGGAGGTTTTGTTAGGACGGTCGGCGATCGGGGGAAAGGGGGAGGCAAAAGCAGTGGGCAAAAGCAAACATACTGATCCCGTTGGCAATGGATGGTGAGATCGTGGGCGTTTGCGAGGCCACAGGAGTCTCTTCGCCGGAATCACCCTTGATGGTGGATGTGGAGGACGACCGCCCGAAGGTTTGGGTCAAAGGAGCGAGGTGGGTTTCCTTTAGTTCTGTCGGCCAAGAAAGATGAGAGAGAATGTCCGTTAGCCTGCATGATCGAAAATAGGAACACGAAAGCACCTTGGGGGTTTACATACTTCTAGTGATTTTCCACGACATTGTGACGGTGGATTTGATGAAGTGGTGAGGAGAGAAATCAGGAGAAGAGGAGACGAGGAGGAGGAAGGGAAAACCGATCTGTCCAGGGACAGATGTTTATAAACGGGGAAAGACAAGAAGAGTACCGATGAGAATAGGGAGGAAAGGCCAGAAGGAGTCTGGGGGAGGCCTAGGAATAGCAAAGGACGAGCGAGAGCCAGACCAGTCAAGTGCAGTTGATAGAATGCAGAACCGCCACAGCCACAGCGGTCAGCAACAGGAGGAGAGAGGGGGGGAAGAAGAGGGAGGGAGGGGGGGAGGGAGGGGAGAATGGAGGAGGGAGGATTGAGCGATAACACGGGCAGCGATACAAACTATCCACTGTACAAGAAACCAACCTCCGACGTGCAAAAATGGAGGAGGAGGTACAAGCCCAACACGACAAAAAAATAGTTGAGACAAAATGAGTACAAGATAAATATTTAGAGAGAGACTTGCTTGATAAGACCGAGCGAGTGAGAAGGAGCGAAAATGGAGCAGGGGAAGAAGAGGGAGGAGACTTTGAAAGAGGGGAGGGAGATGGGGGGGGGGAGGATGAACTGAATCAACCAACAGGGACAGAACGGGATGCCTCAGGGCTGAACTGGATGTGGGAGAGAAAAGTGGAGGGGGAAAAAGAGATGATTGGGTCAGGCACATCGCTGCCTTAACACCGGAGTACCTTTTGACACCTTGACACCTTGATATCTTACCCAGAACCGACAAGATTGTCTTGACACCTGAGGCATACATCTCCTGAAACGCGAACTGCGGCGGTGCAACCCTGCTTGAACCCACTACTGTTTCCCTCCCCTGACCACCCGGCTAGTCCTAAACAAGGAACGGGCAGCGCACTCGCCCCAATAACTCAGCCACCGCCCAAGTTGGATTATGTATTCCATGTCCCGCCAATGACCTATTTTAGTAGGCTGGGAGGGGCCCGGGACTCACACCTCAGGCTCATCCGACCACTCAGTGCACCCACCAGTGGGCAGCGTCTATCCCGGACTGGAACGGGGAACGACTGCCGACCTCTCAGCTCAACCTCTCTACCCTCTACCTAGTCACTAATGCACTTCCCGCTCACCTCGGCCTTTGTGTTAGCGATACCACTCTTGCTATCTGTGCAACCTGATCGCCTGTCCAAGAACTCCGCCGCTGACCATCAATACGATCTGACGTGACTTGCTGTCCCGCCGTTTCCCCGGCATTTCCTTACTCATTCCTACCCGGTAACTCGGCGGAGACACTCTCCAGTCAGCACTGCATCTCTTGGGCGGTCTCGACCACTCTGCGGTCTCTTATCGGCAACCCAAAGCCCCCTCCCTTTAAATCCATTCCCCGCGCAAGCTTTCAATTCAATTCAAATATAGCCCTCGGCCTTGACTGGAGGGCGCGTCGGTGTGGTCGCAACGGACACGGGAACAGTGGAGGATGAGAGGGACCCGCGATCGATGGGTGTAATACGGAAGAAGACCGCCTCGCGCGGCACCGAAGCAGGCACCAAATATCATTGCGATATCTGCTCGGTTGATGTGACTTCGACGGTACACTCTCCCTCATACTTTGTGATTGTTTACAAGACCTAACCTCGTCCGCGCCTTTTAGGTTCGCGTATCCTGTGCCCATCCCTCCTGCCACGAATATGACCTCTGCGTTCCCTGTTTCGCAGCCGGAGAGAAATCTAAGAACCATGATCCGTCCACACACCCATTCCAAGTGATCGAGCAGAACTCGGTGCCCATCTTCCAGGAAGACTGGGGTGCTGACGAGGAGCTCTTGTTGCTGGAAGGTGCTGACATCTACGGGCTGGGGTCATGGGCCGACATTGCCGATCACATTGGAGGCTACCGCACCAAGGAGGAGGTTCGAGACCATTACATCAGTACATACATCGACAGCCCCAACTTCCCACTGCCGGAGCGCGCCGATCCTGACGACACCCGCCTGTCCGACTCCATATCGAAGGAAGAGTTCCAATCGCGAAAGAAGCGACGCATCGAGGAGCGCAAAGAGGCCGCTAAGGCCGCTCCGCCGACCACGCCCAAGCAGAAGCCCACTGCTAGTGTCCCAGCGTGTCACGAAGTGCAGGGTTACATGCCGGGTCGGTTGGAGTTCGAGACCGAATTTATGAACGATGCGGAAGAGGCGGTGCAGCATATGACTTTTGAGCCTGGTGCGGGCGAGACCGCGAACGGTGAGCTGGATGCGGAGATGGAGTTGAAGATGACGGTGGTGGACATTTACAACTCGCGCTTGACGGCGCGCACGGAGCGCAAGAAGGTCCTCTTTGAGCACAACCTGCTCGAGTACCGGAAGAACACGGCGCTAGAGAAGAAGCGTACGAAAGAGGAACGGGATCTGCTCAACAAGGCGAAACCGTTTGCCCGGATGATGAACCACGACGACTTTGAAGAGTTCAACAAGGGACTGGAGTACGAGCACAACCTGCGTCTGGCCATCTCGCAGCTGCAGGAATGGCGGCAGATGGGTATCGGGGATCTAAAAGGTGGCGAGAAATACGAGCAGGAGAAGCAACAGCGCGCCCAGAGGATGGCGCCGCAGGGCTCATTTGACCGATTCGCAAGCACACGACCGAAGCAGCAACAGCAGCCCGAACAGCCGTCGGCGGCTAGTCAGTTGACGACGCCAGAGCTGCCTCTGCGGCTTCAGAAGGCCTCAGGCACCCCTGGTGCCCCGAAAGCTCCCGAGCCTCCCAGTCAGCCGATGAATGACTTTGACCGGATGTTTGCCTCCAACGGGGACGGGATCAGCACGCCGACGCCGCCGGCGAAGACCAAGTTCATTGTGCAGCCGCTGAACGGGGTGATTCCGTGGAAGCTGGAGAACGAAGCTGCCCCGGATCTGCATTTGCTGACAAAGGAGGAGGTAGAGGTGTGCAATGTGCTTCATATACAACCGAAGCCATACCTGGTCATCAAAGAGACACTGCTGAAGGAGTCGATGAAGCAGGGAGGCAGTTTGAAGAAGAAGGATGCACGGACCATTTGCAAGGTAATGCTCTGACGCTCTGACTTTCGACGATGTACTGACAACTCCGCAGATCGACAGTGCCAAGACCAGTCGGATCTATGACTTTATGGTGCACAGTGGCTGGATCAACAAGGGGTGATCTGACTACACGAATATCTCTGATCTTGTGTGTGTGTGTGTGTGTTTTGTAATGGAGTTGGGAGGCGTTTGGAAGGGCAGGATGGATGTTGATGTGATTTGAATTGTATTGACCGACATGAATGATGCATAGCTTGATCTGACTAGTGTTTGGTGTAGTAGATCTGTTGGAGTTTTTCTCTGAATACACTGCTTAATTCTCTTCGAGTTTACTGACATGCTGTAAACTGTGCATAATGATAAGTGCTTAAAGCCTCAATCTAAAGCCGAGCATAGTGAGCTAAGGAAAAGGTCGAACCTCGGCAACTCCACCGCAGCCGTCCGTACTCCACTCCAGCGGGCGTCTCCAACATCTGGACTCCTTCCCGGAGCTTCCCCATAAATACTGTGCTACAGTACATAGCCCAGAACAACAACCAACCAAGAACAGCATCAAACCTTTCACCCCAACCTCACACCTCCTCTCCTCAGCACAAAATCTCAACCTCAATCTCCCACCGGCGCCAGAAAAACGAAGAAAATGACCACCCCAACCGCCAAACACGCCTCCCTCTCCTTCCCCCTCCCCCACATCCTCCTCGTCACCCTCAACCGGCCCCGCGACCTCAACTGCATCAACACGCAGGGCCACGCCGAACTCGACGCCATTTGGAACTGGATGGACGCCAACCCGGCCTTACGGGTGGGCGTGCTCACCGGCAGCGGGAAGGCGTTTTGCGCTGGCGCCGATCTGAAAGGTGTGTCGTCGCCCGTCCCCCAATCCTCCCTCAATCCCCAATCCCCCCAACTTGGAACTAAACTGACTCCCCCCCAAAGAATGGCTCGCAACCCAAACCCAAACCACCACCCCCAAACCCACCAACCCAATAGCCCCCCCCACCGGCTTCGGGGGGTTATCCCGGCGCACGGGCAAAAAACCCATCATCCTGGCGGTCAACGGGCTCTGCCTCGGGGGCGGGTGCGAGATGGCCGTGAACGCGGACCTGGTGATCGCGTCGGAGCGGGCCTACTTTGGTTTTCCGGAGGTGGCGCGCGGGGTGGTGGCGTGGGCGGGGGCGCTACCGCGGCTGGTGCGCACGGTGGGCCGCCAGCGCGCGATGGAGATGGTGCTGACGGGCCGGAAGGTGAGCGCCGCCGAGGCGCTGCGGTGGGGGTTCGTGAATGAGGTCGTGCCCATCGACGCTGAGGGGGAGCCGGAGCGGGATGTGGTGCACCGCGCCTTGGAGGTCGCGGGGCGCATTGCGGCCAACAGTCCCGATGCGGTGGTGGTGAGCCGCGCCGGGGTGAATCGCGGGTGGGAGCGGGAGGGGGCCGATGAGGCGACGGGCAAGCTGATGGAGGAGTGGATGGAGAAGTTGAACGCGGGGGAGAATATCAAGGAGGGGCTGAGGGCCTTTGTGGAGAAGAGGCATCCCAAGTGGGTGGATAGTAAGTTGTAGTACTCAGACATAGGTTATCTACAAATTACAAAAGGCAGGAGAGAAGTTATAGCGTATTCGTGCATTTGGTATATGAAATGCTCAGTGCTCTGTAAATACAGGAAGTATCAGAAGAAGAAAAAAGAAAAAAAAAAAAAAACGCAAAACCTATGCTGGTATCCCATGCTCCGTTCGCGCCGACCATTTGTTCGCCATATCCCGTATGGTTCTTCGCCGTCCCGCGGCTGAACCGGTTGTACAGGCTTCTTCGGATTCCAGATCCGTGATCAACTCGGAATTGCTGAACTCGCAATGATCTTCGTGAACATCGTAAAACATAACAAATTATCTCATTTACGGCGAGATAACCGTTGGAAACTCGATCCGCTTAGACCTTGACTCCCTGCACCTTGCGCACCCGCTCGAGGACTGCAGGGTACAGAGGGTGCTTCTCTTCCAAGCCGGTTAGGTGGCTGGTGGCCGACTCAGGGGACTGTCCCTTGAGGATCTCGGCGAGTTCGGCACTCTCTTGGTCACCAGGCACGTTCTGGAAGCGCAGAGCCAGCTCGACCGCGTCCATCAAGGCATCGTACTTCTGACCGCGCTCGGCGAGCTGGGCAGCAGGTCCGATGAACCGCTCCTTGCGGGAAAGTTTGCGCAGTGGAGCGCGTCCCACACGATCAACGTTGTCCTCCAAGTAAGGGTTGGAGATACGCTGGATGATCTTGTCAACGTACTCCTTCTGTTCCTCGTCTGAGATCTCGTGCTTGTCGGTGATAAGGGAGGCAGTCTCGCCAAGGACCTTGTACACCATCTCCTTGATCTCTGGATCAGCCAATGCCTCGGCGATCATGCGTTTGCCACGGATGTGACCGAAGTAGGCTGTGGTAGCATGGCCAGTGTTGACGGTGAAGAGCTTGCGTTCGATGTAGGGCTCGAGGTGGTCAACCCAATGGATGGCAGGGATATCTGGGTGGCCGACATCGCCAAAGGGAGTCTTTTCGACAACCCATTCGTAGAACTTCTCGATGCGGACGTTGAGACCGGCGTTGGGAGGCTGATTGGGTACAATACGATCGATGGCCGAGTTGGCGAATTGGGCACGGTTATACAGAGTCTCAACGCGGTCTTCGGCGGTGTGTTGCTTGATGAAACCGTGGAGTGTGTCAGTAGCACCAATGGCGTTCTCGCAAGCGATGACAGCCACAGGCTTCTCTGCTTTGCGCGCATCGATACCCTTGGCAATCACAGGGGCAATGAACTTGAGAATGTTGGGGCCCACGGCACAGGTGACGACATCGGCGGTGGCGATCTCTTGGATGACATCGCTCTCGTGGGTCTTGGAGTTGATGGCGCGGAAGTTGGTGATGGTCTTGGTCTTCTCCCCTTCCTCGCTAACCTCGGTGACTTCGTACGAGTCTGCGTTCTGAAGGGCGTTGACGGTTTGGTCCATCACATCGACAAAGACGACCTCGTAGCCAGCCTCATGGAGGAACTCGGCAACGAAGCCACGACCGATGTTACCACCGCCGAACTGGATAGCCTTCTTAGCCATGATGAAGTGTTGTGATGAGGTATATGGGGTAGAGAATGGTTGATAGTAGTCAAGAGATGTAGAGTGGGGAAGTAGTAGTCTTGGTGATAGGTGAAGGGGTCTTCTGATAGGAAGAGAAAAGGTGGAGGTAGAGGAGAGAGATGATTGATGTGAGAGTTGTTGATGTTGATGGTGAATGAAAAAGGAATAGAACAAAAGGATTGAGGAGGGGGGTTAGAGGGGTATTATATGAGGCCGCAATGGAGGGAGGAGCAAATCGAAGAGGGGAAGGAGGGGGGGAAGAGAGGGGCGCAGCAACACATCCAGTGATACTGTGAGAAGCAGGCAGGCGCGATAGAAACATAGAGAAAGGCCCCAGTCGCGGTATGTGCGGGACATGGGAATGGCAGCCGAATTGCATAGATCATTGGTTGGTGGAGCAGGACAATGACCTCAACTCTCTCAAACAAGACTCACCAATCCGAGGATGACGTGAGGGACCCTTACACCAAACGAACCACCATACCGTCAACCGTGCGGTGATCCTAAACAGGATATTCTAACTACTACACCTGTATGATGATCATGGAAACAAACGCACTTGCATGATTGCAGCTAGCAGGTAGCAGGGGGGATGCAGCTATCCTTCTGACTCTGTCTGGTGAGAAGAGCCATGTGGTGGTATGCTTCCATAATCATACTCAACAACATCAACCCCAATCAGCCACGGCCGGTCTCCCGATCCCTCCCGACCAGTCAGGTTGATAGTGATCTTGAAACCACTCCGTCTACTACGACTGGCCTATATTAGACTCCTAGTACTACTACACTACTACTACTCTACCCTATCCTACCCTGGTCATTCTGCACTTCCCCGGGTTTGCGGAGTACATCGGCCCGGATAGGAATGTCTTCCCTTGGCACAACTCGGCTTGAGGATTCAAACGACACGAGGGGTACGAAGACCTCTTCCCGAGTACGGCCTATGTTCTTGGAATGATGATGGTTTCTGGCCAGTGGTGAAAGGGAGGAGTGGAATGTCATCATCATCATCAGACTGGTGGGCGGCAGTCGTTCGATCAAACATCACATCGTCATGCCGCTGGGGAAAACGAGGAGGAAAGAGACCCACTGCTGCCGGTGTCAGTCTGGCTGAGAACAACAACTTCCTCCTTACACTTACGTCGTAGTCTCGGTCTCCTCGGTCTCCCCCACCCTGTGACGTTATTCTTTCCTCCGCCGCGTCCTCCCAAATAGACTACTGGCTCCATCTTGAATTCGGCCTTCATCGACTCGGTCCAATTCCATCTCCCAAAGTTGAAGACAATTCATGTGGGGCTTAATACCCTTCCTGTCTCCCCCAGCTTTCTCGATCCTTCTCGATTCCTCGCTTCATACATGAGTAGAAAGGAAAGGGCACAGCAAACGACTGTGAGTTCTCACTCAAACGACAAGTTAATGTTCAATCAGTACAGTACAGTAGTAATAATACAATGGGACTAATTACGAGTACTAGGGAGTTATTTGCAGTTACACACCAATGGCTTCATCGCCGTTTCCCGCCCGGTCCAATCCATTTTTTCCCTCACTTTCCACCCATTTCCATCCGTCCGATCGGCCCCCTTGTCGCCTTCTGCCCTTTCTATCTTCCGATTCGTTTTACAGTCCCGTTGGAAATTCCCGCGTTCTTCCTTACTCCGTACCTGGTAACCCGGGCTATTCGTGTGAACGCAATGTTACCGAATCGTCACTGTGGTGACTGTGGACTTCCGATTTGGCATGATCTTCCAGCAGATCGTCAGGGCCCTCGTCAAATCCATCATTGTCATAAGGAACATTGTCCACAGGAGGTCGACTGCGGTCGATCAACACCATCACTAACCCTGTGGTGCCCCCAATCAGATACAGCCCTGTTGCTGCCCAAGTGAGACTCAGGAACTGCGGCCCGTACTCCGCTGTTACTCCGGCGTCCTGTCCATGGTAGCTGACCAGTTTGACAAACTGGAATGCAACCACGGTCGCAATGATGGACGAGATCCCAAGCATCACGAAACTCAACTGCGCGCGGGTCAGTATCATTCGTTGAGAACCCACATATCGCAAGACGGACGGGATCATACCATCATGGACGACACTTCCGTTATCGTCTGTCGCGGACCGCGTCTGAGCGCCCACCACGCCCTTTCCAACAGCGCCAGGGCGGCCACCCCGGCTCCCAAGCAATAAAATATTCCCATACTGCGCGATGTCATCTGGAAGGCATAAAAGTCGTCGGTGATCGCGCTGGGCCACCCCAAGTCCGCCGGGGAGGTAGTATTCCCGGTGTCGGCCCGGATTGCAGCATCCGGATCAAAGGAGAAGAACAACGTTCGATCGGAGCAGTTGTTAAAGTCCTTGTGATTCACCCGCAGTTCTCCCTCGCAGTATGACATGACATGGATGGAGTAGAAATTAGCGATCTCCGTGCCCTGGCTGATGTTTGAGGTATAGATCTGTCGTAGACGTCAGAGGCCTCTCAACTTTGAGCTCATTTGGTGGCACTTTGGCGATGAGAGCAGGTTAACTCACCGTTAGGATTGAAGTGTCGGGCAGTACACTCGTTTGTGACCCCGCGAAGAGACATATTAGTGTCAGTATGAAGGCGATAAATGCTGCCACTGTCGGCAACCAGTTCACTAGACGACTCATGGTGCAACGATGCCGCTCAACGTCTGCTGTCAACAAACAGGTTTTGGAGAATCAACTTTCATTGCAGCTGTCCCAGACTGGCATGGAGTTCTCATGTATACTCTTCGCTATCGAGCCTATGAGGTCGTCGAGCATTCCTTGAGATGGCCAGTCGTCAGCAAGATTCAGATGAGGAGCGTCGTGGACTCGAACTTCGCTTCTTCCGGTACGTCTCGCTACTTATCGAATAGCACAATGTTACCGCGTTGGCTTGAAGACGATTCCAATTGGACACGAGATACCATTGGAATGCGTTGGCCTGAGAAGTCAGGCAGCAAATACCGCAGCGTGGAAAGACTCATCGACCGCCAGCGTGAAGAATGTGCGCGCCCACCGATGGTATTCTTGGCGCACTCTAATCGTGATCCAACCCTATTCTTAATGAACAGATTCGATTTCCGCGGTCAGACTACGAGGGGATGGTAACATCCTCGTCATTCTAACCCTCGAATCCATGAGCGCACTGGCCCATGGGTTATCATGATCCATTATGCTTGCAGAGTCCTCAATTCACTAGATGTCACACTTGTGACCGGGACGTGGATAGTGTACTATGCACTTTTACACATAACGACCCATGGTTTGGTCTGAGGTGTAGCAATGCTTGTCTGCACGTGGAGCACTATTGTGTAAACGTCGTATGTCTGCTTGCTGTCAGCCAATCTTCGTATTCTAATGCTAAAGTCCCCCGCACGCCCCACTAATGGGTGTTACCCCGGATTTGGCACGTGGCGCTCGCTGCTGACGCGAAAGGTCTGAGCTGGAATTACCCCGCGCTTCACTCTCAGTGTGGCTCATAGCCAGAAGCTCGGGCTGGTCATGACTTTAGGATAGAGAACGATCCTCATTTCAATGAGAGAGTACCCTAACACAGTCGAATGCAATAGCCTTAATCGTACACTACCTGCGTCTGAAACCGACCCAACGAGAGAACCTCTTTCGACTCAGCCTTCACCCAATTTTTCTTGACCCTCGCCCTTACCCATTCGGTGGCAGGGATAGCTACCTCCTTCTCATCCTGCCTTCCATGCGAGTAATACCCCAATCGCCTGAGCAGCGGACTATCGATGGCCCCAAGATTCATCTCATCTGACGGTCTTACAAAATACAGCAGCCCTAATCGATCTAGCCCGACTTGATCCTCTGGCGGAGACACGACACGATGGACCCCACTCTTCAGGTACCCATTCGATAGGAACTCTACAATATCGGCGATGTTAACCGCCGCATAGCCTTCGGGTATCCTCAGCCACTGCCACTCTGACTCCGCCGACCGTTTCACTTGCAACGCTGCCACTGGCTGCTGAAAGACAAACGTCAGGGTTCCGAAGTCTGTATGGCCCCGTGTGTAGATATGATTACACCGTTCGTTCTCCTCCGCGGACCGTGCCCTCGACATCATATACCGGAGCGCGCTGTCGCAATTCGCCTCGTAACGATGGCCTTTAACCAAAGTCTCTTCGTCTGGTAGTTCCAGCACAATCGCGAGAAGCCGAAGGATCTTGTGCGCTACATTCTCATGAATATGGCGATGGACCTGCTCGATCTCCTTCCAGTGCCGGTGAATCACGTCCGGCTGGGTGCGCTGCGTCTGTGGGATGAATTTGAACAGGTTGTACATCTCCACCTTGTCTGGCTGGCCCGGGGCGAGCTCGACGCTTCCGAGCGGGCGGTAGCCATTGTAGTTCCCTTCTTCAAGCGGAGCGCGATACTCTAATCGTTCTTCGAAGGGCAACGCGTAGAACTCTTGCCCGATGGCGTACTGTCGGTCAATCTGTTCTTGGGTGAGGCCAAAATTGGTGATGTAGAAGAAGCCTATCCTCTTTCTTAGCTTGGTCTCTTTTCCGGACTCGAGCCATCTTATGCATCAGGAAGGGGAAAGACCAACCAACTTCATGCGCAGCTTGCTTCAATTGTTTCGCTAGTCTGTCTTTGCCTTCTGGGGTGTCGAAGAGAGAGAGATCAAGCGTGATGAGGTCTGCATAGTCGACTGGCTCGCTTGTCAGTGAGCTCTGCCCCCATATATGGTCAGTAGGAAAAGTACTTACGCGCTTGCGTTGTCTCCGGCGGATGGACGTATGCCTCTAGCGGCTCGGTTGAAACATCGTCGTGTGCTGCATTTGCGGTAGGTGCTTGGATCGCCATGGCGTGTTTGTGCTCAATGAAAGTATATGAGATATAATCTTGTTAGCAGAAAGGCATGTTGCAAGGCTTAAGATCCAAGATACTGATGGTTCTGGCAGTCTTGCTTGGAGGCTGTCTTACCCCGCTTGATATCGACTGACGTGATAGTAGCACCGATTGACGATATTTTTCAGGTCGGGAGCGAATCATTGAGTCGCATGCTGTGTCACTGGCAAGTTTGGAGAATTTTAAATGCTATAGACCCTGAGTTGATACTCAGTGCCAGTCGCTATCATTCAGAATGTAGTGTTGTAACCAGGCGGGTGAAGGAGATGCATTTCCTAATCGGGTTGTTTCCTTCTATGACAGGACGGACGGAGTCCTGCAGTGTACTCCGCCTACTACTATCTACAGCGGCATCCCGCAAGGCGGTACCTCGAGGCTTACAGAAGCCTTTCTCATTATCTTTTTTCTTCTATTCTCACACGATGTACACTTCAGGGTTTCCGATATTCGACCCCACCTCATACAATTCGAAACTCGATCTAGACATGAACCTGAAACCTTGTCAAGATCTTACAGGGAACATACATCGTCAGAGAAGGTAGCCAGACAGCTGCGCAGGATCATGCTCATGGGGAAACCGTGTCCTCTCATGGCCTGCCTTAATCGAGCCCACAATATTGACATCGTGGATAGAAGCCTACTATATCAATGTGAGCTTGCTGTTTATCAGAAAGCTACCTATGCCGGCCAGTCACCAATCAATCAATGATGGCATTGTCCGGATGGAATGGAGTTGAGATGCTCTGGAATATGGCGCTTTATAGTAGGTGAATATCGGCTTGGACAAAAAACAGTCGACCAATTGGGCTCGGACGAATTGCGGTGAGCGCGCTTCAAACCCTTCCCTGAGGTGTTTCTTGTACAGTGCCTCTTGCTAACAACTCCCCCAGAGTCACTCTCACACTGTATGCAACATGGACTTCGACCACCTCGCAGAAGAGAGATCGAATCTGATCTTCCAAGTGTGGCTCCAGAATCTACTGCGAAACTCACCCGAGGAGCTGGCGGGGAAGGTTGCTTCCCGCCACCGTGCTGGCACACCCGTCAAAGCCGCGCCGCTTGCCAATGGCGCTTTCAATGTTTGTTACCGCGTGACCTACGATGACGGCCATCGTGTCGTGGTTCGTTTCACTGCTCTTGGTCGGATCGTCGCTCGTAGTGAGAAGGTCGAAGACGAGGTCGCTATCATGCAATATGTTGCCCAGCATACAAGGGTCCCTGTTCCCAAGGTTCTGGGTTCTGGAAAGTGTGTGGTTGGCCCATACATCGTAATGGACTACGTTGAGGGCAAGCCATTGAGTGGGCATCTTAGAGAACTGTCTCAGAAGATAGTCACACTGCGCTCGAACATCAACATGTCTGTATTGCGAAGAGCTTATATGGCCATGGCCGAGATCTTGCTGGAGCTATCGAAGCCTAAATTCCCCTTCATTGGAGCTGTTCGACTGGACGAGTCCGGCGAGTGGACGGTGCAGAAACGACCATTCACCTTCAACATGAATCGACTTGCTCAGTTTTCCAATATTCCGCACAGTATATTTGAACAACATCGCTTCGACAATGCAGCAGATTATTTTGAGGAGCTTGCGCATCACCATTTCCATCATTTGGAGCTACAGCGCAATGATGCGGTAACCGATGAAGATGACTGCCGGAAGAAGTACATTGCGCGTTGTCTTTTCCGCAAATTGTCGCGTGCTATCTCCAAGGAACACTGCAAGGGTCCTTTCAGGCTATATTGCGATGACCTCCGTCCCGACAATGTTCTTGTTGATGCATCAAGACTGGCTGTTACTGGAGTCATCGATTGGGAGTTCTCCTATGCTGCTCCTGTCGAATTCACATATGCGGTGCCTTGGTAGCTTTTACTGGAGAAGCTGGAAGACTGGGAAACTGATCTGGATGAATTCATGGTGCGTTTTATGCCGAGATTCAACACATTCCTCGAGGTTCTCAAGGAGTGTGAGGCCAAGAAATTCCAGGACAATTTCTTGTCACAATCACAACGGCTATCCATCGCTATGGAGAAATCATTGGAGACTGGATTATTTTGGATTTGTCTTGCTTCACGCCACAGTTCCATGTTCGATGAGATATATTGGAAGTTTATCGATCCAAGGTTCTATGGCCCATTGACAACTGTCAATGATCGACTGGGTCTGCTCAGTGAGGAAGAGCGGGCGAACGTCGACACCATCGTTGAGCAAAAGATGCTGCAGGCAAGTGAGGGCACTTTCGTCTCTCATTACAGCATTGACGAACTAGTTGACCTATGAATCTCTGCCCCTCCGTGGTCCAAAGTCATGATCACTGCGCGTCTTCCAGTCTCAAGTGTTACTATCTTAAGTATAGTCGGCGGGGGTCAAGCGCAGACGGCTGACCGTCGGAGCACACTGTACTGTACTCCGTAATTATCAATGGCTGAACTTAAGCGCCTGTGGTCAGTTCTATCACGTATAGCGTTCCCCCACCCCCACACGGTCAAACACTAGCGCGATGAGTTGATGTGAACTAGGTATGTACATACAGTAACTTACGATGAAGTACTGGCCATGATCCCGCGGAACGGTTCGCGGTGGTTCAATGAGAGAAGGCCCATGACATGATCAAAACAGAAAGCAGATATCAGGCTAGGTGATAGAGCGCCTGATGTACAGTAAAACCTAGATTTCGGTTTGTGTGCATCTAGTGTCAGGCCCTGCTGCAACGCCCGTATCACGGCCCTGGAGCAAATGCCTCTGTAGTAAGAAGCCTTTGACAATATCAGAAAGTTCTCAAGCAAGTCTCGCGCTTTCTTGCTTTCCGCCCTTGCAACGATGTGATTACAGGGACTGCTTTCTGGCAACACTCTGTCTTTTGATCTGTACTAGAATCGGAGTTGATACTTCACAGAGAGAGAAAGTATGATGATCCAGGTGGCTCCATCTTGGGCTTGGAGATGTACCCTTGTGTTCAGCGAGAGTGAACTAGAATAACCGATTTGAAGAAGTCCATATCTGATCAAACAGGTCCTTGTCATGTCACCTAATCAATTGATAGCTACGGGATGTAGGCATGAACTTGCCTTAAGACACCGGTATCGGAGCAATGACTGCTCCATCCATACTAGCAAACATGCCACAGACCTTCCTCCCCCAAGCTCGGCTATTCTCTACAGGTGCTCACATTAGTCTCTACCTGTCGTCCAGTCTCGTATCTCTCAATCAATGGTAGAAGCACCAAGGTCTACCCGGGCGTGGACGCGAGGATTGATCGACCAGGCGGACCATGTATGCATTTGTCGCTCTCAGATGGCGAATTCCACCATGGTCCAACCTGAGTTGGTAGTCGACTATCAAGGCTCCAGATACCGGCATAGTCCAGAAACAATTGGGCTATCGCCCTAGCGAGTATACAAGATGCTCCTCCGAACGCTCTGCTACGACAACACCCGCTACATTCAACGGTCCAGCCACATAGAGTGATATTTACGACTTCCCCCATCCGCCTTTGCGGCTAGGATGTCTCCAAGGATGCTCTCTCTGGGAGGGCTAGCGGTATACTTACAAGACTACCTGACGCGCAAGCAACAAACATCATTCTACCATCGTTCGAGCAGAGCTCCTCGAGTGACCAGCCTGCTGGCCTGGAGGCATGCGATGAAAAGAGCGACTGATCCCCACGATAACTTTTTACCCTACTTCTTGCAATCCGGTCAGTAGGGCCTCTGCAAATCCGGAATATCTCCCATGACCACGCCCCTCCTCAATGAAGCGCCCAAATCATAGATTTAATCACATCGTCCTTTTTGAAACAACGAGAAGGAGTACAACCATCAACAACCGGTCTCATGGTCGCTATATCAAGGACTCAGGAATGTGAGGGCGCTTAGTACTATGGAGATAGGTTATTCTTTGATGAATTGACAGCAGGTCTGATGTATTTATCTGCAGATCCATCATCGTCGATAACTCAATCGAAGGTCCGCGACGACGGAGCTGGGTATTGGTCTATATTTCACAATGTAGTACTAGTGATCTTGCGAATCAGCAAGAGCTTTGAGTAAAAGAGCTAAAGTAAAATTGCTCAAGGGGAGAGGGAGGGAGGGTTTGGGGGGAGTTTGCATTCGTTGAACACTGGTTGATAAGTAGTACCTCGGTTGAGCATAAAGCTTAGGCACATTCATGAACACTTCACTCGAATGAATACATTGCCCAAGTATGTTCTTCGTTAATTTGAGGGAAATGATGCATGAGATGAGTTATCTTGATATGCTCCTTATTCTTCATCTGGAGAACGCGAGGTAGATGACCAACTTCTAATGTCTGCGGTGGCGTAGCTAATGCAGTGGGATCGGATATACTATCGCCTGCTCCGCTGGCAGGGCTACAGAAGGGTTCATGTATGTACTCATACTAGGAACGTGGCGGAATTTGGAATCTACGGGATTGATCGCTTACCGCGAGTTATTGGACAATTTCTCAGGTCGGTACTGAAAGCACTGGGCCAAGAAAACCAACGGACAAGCATGACCTCACCACCACAACCACCAAAGCCATAGTCTGTCGAATTAGGGTGTTCGGGTAAGCCTTGTGTCCATGCAAAGGCTTGGGACTGTACCCCCGTCGACGATTACACAAGGCAACCGACCTGATGACCGGTGGCGCGGGCCGGGCTACACCCGAGTAACGGGTGAGCGAGAGCCAGTTCACTCGGTGACAATGCATCGTACATGACTAAGTAAGGGGGGAAACCCACTTAAGACAGCTGCTTGAACTAACACAGAGCGGGTGTATCGGCTGCCGCGTTGGCATTCCTTCGACGCCTAGCCTAGTAACCTTCCAGGCATGCAGGGTCGAAGGTGTGGCAATGCATAAGCAGCGCCAGGATGATTCTAGGCAGAGCACTCCAAGAAACAAGACTGGCGAGTCAGTTCGCCCCGAAACCACTTCTTCCAGCCGGTGGCGGAAACCAAGCCGTGTGTTCTCTGGGCGCGATATGAGGCCAAGAAGGCTTGTGATACACGCCTTCAGTCAAGCTTTGTCAGTCAAGCTTTGCTTGGATGACGGAAACAGATATCAGCCTGCGCATAGTGTGCTTCATCTTCAATCCATGTACAAGAAGCAGGACTTCATGCCACTGTGGCGGTCACACTTCATCGAACCACTCATTCTTCAACGGATCTCTACTCGAGGAGACCGTGTCTGACCACCATCGGCTCTGCTGGATCTCGCCTGGGTGCAATGTCAGGAGATGAGCGGCCGATCTCGCTGAACGCCGCGCACTACTGGGCTATGAGTGGCACCTAGATCCTGCCATTTGATGAAAGGAGGATCAGGGTCCAGAGCCCCCATGCTACCTTGCGTCCAGCTATTACCCAACTATCAGGGCGCGTGGCCAACGTGCTGCACTAGGGCCGGCCGGGTAGCTGTTTCCAGATGCATACGCAGCATGGCGGCCGACCATGATCCATGAAGCTCGGGATGGAGCTGGAAGGAGCAGTTCGCCAGACGATCCCTAATTTCGATCAGCTCTTTTGATGTAGGAGACCCTGTCAGCATCCATGATTGCTGATGGTAGGCCCGGGTAAGGGGAGAGGAGAGAGCCATGTAGCCACGAGGCGGGACCCGCGGCTCTCATTGGACCAAACCCAGGACCGGCTTCATACTGCCAGGAGGTGTAGTATGATGATGAGACCCCTATCTTTAAGGTTTCAAGGTCGATACCGGTCAAATCCGCTCAGAGCATTTCCATGACGAGACGTGCACCGTCATCATCCAACAGGCAATAGATTTGATGACCATGATCGGGCGGAGGCGGAGGGTCCCAAATTGCACTGTACTGTGGCCGTGGCACCTCGTTCCGGCGTCCTGCACGAGAATAATGTATAAGCTGGCTGAGATGCACCGTGGAGCGATGCAGGCAAGGGATAGGTCCAAGGAAGGTGGACGTCCTCCGGAGTAGTGCCATGTGTTCGGTCGACGTCTCCATCCGTGGAAACGAGCAGGAGCCATAAAACCGGATGGATCTTTCAACCAGACGATAATTAGGGGAGGGGGGGGGGGGGGGAAGGGGGCACGTCCCAGATAGGCACAGGAGCACGAGGGCAACAAAAGACGGGGAAAGGAAATGAAAGAGAGGGGAAAGTGTTGTTGACGACTGGGGAAGGGTTGGCGGGAACGTGCTGGCAGGACGCGATGCGACTGGCTGGCGGACGAACAACTGCAGCTGCAGTGCCAAGAAATGCCAAACACCATATTCAATTGTTCAGTTGTGTATTGTGAATTGAACTCCTCCCGTATGCACCTACGTATGCATCGGCACATGTTTAGACTTCGACCACGAGTTTCAGCCCGGGTCAAACTATGTGCGCGTGTTCCCATGAGCCATGTCTTATTCCAAAAAGAAAAAAAAATAGTCCATGGCTGTCGTGGCTGTCAGTGTCATGCGGACGAGGACCGAAGGAACGTAAGGACGAAGGACAACGCAGGACAACATATTATCGGGAAATGCATCATTCAGCTGTAAGATCTAATGAAATCGAGATAGAATCAACATCATGATGAACATTGTTGTGTAACACACTGAAGATCCGAGCGGAGCCCTCTTGCCGCTCTCACTGCCAACCCACTTGCCCTCGGGTTCTCATACTGTAGATACTCTACTGTGTAGTGACAGCGCACGCTCTCTCTTTCCTTTTCTGGGGACAAAGGACCCAGCCAGGTTGGCCCATTTTATGCAGGTCAGTCTTTTTCGCAGCATCGCGATTACTAGGTAGGTATTCTTAGATCCAGATCCAATAGATCCCCCGGTCTTATGGTTATCTCCCCCGGGAAATTCCTACAGTTAAAAAAAAAAAATGGGAGCCCTGAGGATGATGCCACCAACCTTGAATTCATGGTCCACGGTGACTTCGGGGCCGGCCACTGCAGCTTCATTTCATAGTGGGGTTGCGGGCTGCCAACATCCCATTGGACCGAGGTAGATCCGGGCGGGTGATTCTAGAAGGCGGTCAGTGTCGATCGAAGGCGATTCTGCCCCCACGTGCGCCTTTGATTGGTCGGCGGCGGAAGTTCTGCAGTGGAAAACGCCCCTCACGCCCGCCTTTCCGCACCAGGGTTGGTCTTTCTTCCTCGGCGGGCTCAACCTCAACTGACTTCCGCCACAATCATCCGTGACCGTTCGTCCCAATCCCCGGCATTATTCCTGAGAATCATTCATAATTCTGGTTGGATTGAATCCTTTGGGGGTTTAAAAAAAATGCAATTTCTTGTTTTACTTCTATGGCACCCGGCAGACTCATGATTATACTCAAATAGATGGGGTTCTTTTTTTTTTTTTTTCTCAATTCATCCGGGTGGATGTGACGGTGGGTGTGGGTGCGAATGAATCTCGGAGGAAGGAACTGAACTCTGCCCGGGAACGGCAAGCTGGATTGGAAACCAACTGAACCTCTCCTAGGGAAGGTACCGATGAACCGCCCCGTATTGAATTTCCTCCCCTCTCATGGGAACTTTCACCCGCTCCGGTCTCTCCGGTCGTAAAGCCGCGACGCAAGGCCGAGAGGGAAGACAGAAAAGACAGAAAGTGGCTCCAGTATTACCTATTCAATATCCTTAACTGGGTCTAGGGCCTAGGCACTGGGGCTGGCGAGAGTCCGCCTTCCTGCATCCCAGTCGACGACTTGCAGCGCAGTGGAACCCTTCTTTTTTCCTTTGCATCCACTCCGCTAGAACTAATTCTTCCTTCCCCACCCGCCGCCACTACTGTTGGATCTCGCACTACCTACCAGACTACGGATTACCCAGAATCCTCCCCCGTCGACCCATGAACCACACACACTTTACCCCCCAAGACCGGCGTCCGGCTTATCACGTCCCACCATTTGCACATGTGCCTGGGGCGTGACGGTGGGCTGTTGCTGGTCCGCCCAGCCCAGAGATTTTCGGAATATAAGATTGACGGCTGGCCGCTGTCCAACAACTTGGCCTGCATCGTGTGTGACGCCTCCATCACGGTCAACGCGCCCGTTCTTCCCTTCTCTCCTCTCTAGGAGGTCTTTCTCAGAGCGCCTCTTCATCTTGTCAAAGTCTTGTTGCGCCAGCCAAGCCGATTTATCATTTCACATCGTCCGACAAGATGGCCACTCTCGGTGCTCAGGCCCCTCATGGCCCTGACATGACCGGCACCCATAATCCTCTCGAGGACATGGATCTCCACGAAAAGGGTGCCTTCGATCAGCTCATTCGTCCCGATGACAGCTATACCCCCGATGGTACCTATTGGGCTGATTTGCCCCTGGTCAAGAGAGTCAAGTTCGTTGGTTCCTACGATGCCCAGGAATCCAAGCGTGAGCTTCGTGGAATTTGGGGAATGATCAAGGAGGACCCTCTCTCTCCTGTCTCCTATTACTTCCGGAATATGGTCCTGCCTGGTGCTGGTCTTGGTCTCGAAGGGTAGGTTTCCCCCTCCAACGACTCTTTCCGAGGGTGCCACCAGTGTTGCTCACATTGCTTTTGCGCCTATCCAGTTACGTGCTCTTCTCTATCGGAAACATCAAGCCTCTCTTCCAGAACTCCTTCAAGTCCTGCTGGAAAGAATTTGAGACCTGCGAGAAGCAATGGATTTACGCCATTGACTATCTCGAGATTCTTGGTATCATTGTCGGTCAGATCCTGGTCGGTATTCTAGGTGACTGGTATGCAATTCGAATCCGCAGTTTGATAGCTGAATCTCGCTGACCACATAACTCAGGGTCGGTCGCCGCTGGGGTTTGATTCAGGATGCCACGATCATGCTTCTCGGTCTGATTATGCTTATCGCAGCTTGGGGTGTGAACGAAAATGGCTGGATCATCTGCTACGCCTGGTCTCTGTTCGTCTACGGTGTGGGTGTCGGAGGTGAATATCCCATGACTGCCACCAGCGGTATGGAGAATGCCGTCGGCTCCGGAAAGGTTTCGACCAAGGAGGATCGTCTCCACCGTGGTCGTAAGGTCACCAGCGCTTTCTTGATGCAAGGTTGGGGCCAGTTCTTCAACCAGGCTATCCTGATCATCCTGCTACTGATTTTCCACCATGGAAGCGGTAGCCCTCCCTACTCCGCCGTTGCCGCTCAGTGGACCTACCGTATCTCCTTCGCCATTCCCGCCGTCGGAACCCTGTGGCTGGTCTACTACCGTGCCTACCACATGAAGTCTGCTAGTAAGCAGCTGGACGCCGCTAAGAAGAAGGCTTCCGTCACTGGCTACGATGTCAACTCTCTCAAGCTTACCCTCAAGTACTTCGGGCCTCGTCTTCTGGCCACCACCGGTGGTTGGTTCTGCAATGATGTCTTCTTCTACGGCAACAAGCTTTTCAGCTCCGAGTTCATCGAAGTCTTGAGCCCTCACAACAAATCCATTATGCCTACATGGTTGTGGAGCTTGTGCAATGTCGGTGTCTCGTTGGCTGGGTACTACTGTGCCTCTTTCTTCGTGGACAACAAACTCTATGGTCGCAAGTGGATGCAGATGATCGGTTTCCTGATGTGCTTCGTCATGTTTGTCGTCCCCGCTTTCCACTACGATCACTACATCCAGCCGGAGAACATCCACGCTTTCCAGGCTATGTACTTCCTGAGTTCCTTCTTCAACCAATTCGGCCCCAACTCGATCACTTTCTTGGTTGCCGCTGAAGTGTTCCCCACTCCTATCCGCGCCTCGGCTCACGGTATCTCCGCCGCTTGCGGTAAACTCGGTGCCCTGTTGGCCTCGGTGCTATACAACTACATCGGCACCCGCACCAAGTTTTATTTTGTGCCCTGGTGGGGTCTGGCTGGCATGGTTCTCACCTGGCTCTTCCTTCCCGATACCACTGGATTGGATCTGAAGGAGCAGGAACGTCGTTGGCAATACATCCGTGAAGGCCGTGAGCAGGACTATCACGGCCCTGCTATCCACTCCAAGCACTTGTCTGTCTGGGAGCGTCTGCGCGGTGTTGGAAAGAACTACAACGCCGAGCTTGACTACAAGCAGAAGGTCGAGGAGTTCCGCGCTGAATGGGAGTCTGCCATGGCTCGCAAGATGGATGAGACCACCAAGGGCGAAGACTACCTGCAGGACACCGATGAGTCTCTACTAGAAGGCCACGTCCACTCCTACTTCCACCGCACCAGCCCTATGTTCCGCGGCATGGACAAGCCGGCCACGAGGACGGATAACTTCGCTCTCCCTCCGGCTGCGCAGGATGGCTCGGAAGAGTCCTTCAATGAGAAGACCAACCATTAGATTATGTTGAATGATTCCCTTTCTAGCACTTTGAAAAGACCATCGGCGTGATGCATTGCATGTGGCATACCCCAATCCGGGTTGATGATGCCTTTGACTCTTCCTTTCTTGCTGTTTCACAATCTTTGTTTTTCGAGCGAGTGGTTTTGCTTGGTTCTTGTTGTGGCTGTACACCTCCTCCCAATACCCAGGTACATACATACCTACTTTTAGTATATAGAAGCTGATTAATACTGCATCCTCCCCAATGCTGGGAAATACATACTTTTCATCATGACTTTCTTTCCCATGCAAGGTTTGGGCCTTAGAGTATCCTTCGTCTCCAAATTGCTACCCCGGACTTGACATTTTACAGTTTCATTGGAGGGCAAGTTACATCGTCATCTGGCCCCACGGCGTTCTCGCACGTCGTCATTGCCGGCCTTCCACTCTCCCTGCCGTTTTCGGCCGACCAGGATTCTGCCGCAAAATCGGCCTCACTAGTTCGGAAAAGGCAAGCGATAAGCAAAGGCGGTACCTTCATTACCACGTTTATCGCGTCGTTATCACTGATAGTGATATGTCTGCATCGAATTTCCTCTCCACCCCCACTGGTTATCACTTGCAAGATTATCTGATCTTTGGTGCTGCTTAGTCCAGTCAATCTCCTTTACCCTCAATTACCTCCAGGCTCTCTTGTCACATTAATGAGAAGAGGACTTTCACTTGCCCGCTCAAGAGCAAGCACGAGCCCAAGTTTTTTTTTTTTTTTGCGCCATAACAAACAAAACCTGTGGTCTGTTGTTTTTTTCTCTTCTCCATCTATACATTTTCCGATTGCTACTTTTTGTGGATTTATCTAATCTTTTTCCGTCCAAGGGCAGATAGTCATTGAAGCTCACTGTCCTCGAAGAAACGGCGATAACATAACAACTCCCATTGCTGTTGTTGTTCTTTGACCGAGCCCACCCCTTTTTTTTTTCGGGTTTGTCCCACGGTGGCAGTATCTTCTGATTTTGGGTCCTCTAGTCGCTGCATCACCGGCTAGGCTAAAGCAAAGCAAAGCAAAGCAAAGCAAATAACACAAGCAAGCAAGCCAGCCAGCCCCACAACACGACAAAAATCACAGAAAGTGAAGCAGCATGCCTCTCTTCGCGTTTGGGTCGAATGGCTCCGGCCAATTGGGCCTCGGGCATGAGGAGGATGTCTCCGTGCCGACGAGATGTGTTTTCGAGTCTGCGTCTGCGGAGGATGCTGCGCAGGGAGATGAGGGTGGGCTGAAAGGAAGCGACGTGGCTCGCATCGTGGCCGGCGGCAATCATACTTTGGTTTTGGATCGGAGGGGCGGGGTTTTTGCGGCGGGGTGGAATGAGGATGGGCGGTGTGGGATGTCCAAGAGGGAACAAGGGGAGGAGGGGGAGGGGGAGGGGGAGATGGTGAAGCGGTTTAGGAGGGTGCGTGCTGTTGTTCCAGTTGTTGATTTGGGGGGTGGCGATGGCGGTGGTGGTGGTCAGGTCTATGATACGTTCACAGGGGTGGCTGCTACGTGGGAGGGGACGGTTTTGGTCGCTTCTGTGGAGGAAAAGGGACAGGAGAGCAGGGATCGAGTGTTTGTATTGGGGTCGGGATTGAAAGGGGAACTCGGGTTGGGGAAGGGGTGTCTCCGCGCGAGCGCGGGCGGCGTCGCAATCCCGGATTTCCCGCCGCAGGGAATGAGGGTGCGGGCGGTTGCGAGTGGCATGGGCCATACGGTGGTGGTGCTTTGCGATGGGAGCGTGTGGGGTTGGGGCGCGGCGAGGAAGGGCCAGTTGGGGGAGGCGAATATCCCGGACAAGGTGGTCTGGAGTCCTCGGAGGATTGAGGGGTCGGAGGGGCTGGGGTTCCGGGCGACGGGGGCGGCGTGTGGGCGGGAGTTTACGGTGATCATGGGCGATCCTGCCAGGGGGGAGTTCACCGTGCTGGGCGCGGTGGATGATAAGTGGGGGATTCGCTCGGGGGTGTCTGTGTCGCAGGTGAAGGAGAAGGCACTACGCGCGGGAGGCTATCAGGCCATCGAGGTCAGTTGGCATGGTGTCTATGTACATCTGAACAATAGGGAGGTGGTGGCCTGGGGTAGAAATGATCGCGGACAGATTCCGTCGACCAGTACCGGGGACTTGGGGCACGGCAGGGTGGTGAGGGATCTGGCGGCGGGGAGCGAGCATCTTCTTGCTCGGTTGGATGAGCGCACGGTTGTGGCCTGTGGTTGGGGCGAACATGGGAACTGTGGTCCCGATACCGATGCGCAGGGCAATGTCAAGGTGGAGTGGAACCGGATTCCCCTGTCAGATGGCGAGTCCGAAATTGTGGGCGTTGGCGCCGGTTGCGCGACAAGCTGGATCATCACTGCCTAGTGTTGACTCCGGCGCGGTTGTGGGAACCATCGAGTCAATGACATTTGGCGTGTCTGTCTTGACCGGCGCATACCGGGCGGCGATGTTTGATTGCCTAATCGAACAGACCAAGGCCATGGAGCTGACGGTGTTAGCTCCCTCGTCAATTTCAAGTTGACAGGGGACTTGAAGTTACCTGTGAAATGCGCTGGGTGGGTGGAATGCCCGTCTCCTGCTCTTGGTCCATTTCGGCAGCCTCCGACTCCTCGTTGGGTACCCGCGTCCTCAAGCTAGCGGTGAAAGTGTCCTTGTTATCGAGTCAGTAACCCGCTGCAGATGGAAGACGGTAATGCTGGGAGTCGTACTTTGTCACCCGTGGCATCCCAGCCAAGCTCGTCTTCGGCTGGAGCCTCCTCGTCATTCGGCACGTCCCATTGTCCGTCATCATCCGCAGGTACAAAGAGACTATCGAATTCGACCGGCGGTTGGGGTCTCTGGGATTCTGCGGGGGTCTGTGAAGCTCGCGCGGACGTTCCGGTAAGAGGGCGGAGAGATCGACTCCGCGAGGACGGCGGCGGCATTCGACTTGCGTCGGTAGCAGGGGGCCTCGGCTGACTCACTTGCACAGGAGCAGGGGTTTGTCTTGCAGACAACTGTGGTGCGGCGGCTCGAGACGAGCTCGGCCCATCGTCTTCGACAGCTTCACCTCTCGTCATCAAGGTAAACTCGGATTTGACACCCTCGAGCTCGTATGCGAATTGCAGCGGACGGCAGGGGGTGGTAAACCGGGCAGTGAGTCTGGCGTGGACAATATCGGCATGCGCAAGCACAGCCTTGAAGTCCTTCAGGTTGATCGCAATGTGTCGATTGTCCTCGGCCAGGTAATACTCAAAGTCCCGTTTGTCGATGGCCACGGAGGTATGCACCGGTTGTCGCAGGATTTCTGCATACAAAGGTATTTCGTTAGCATAGACATGGGCGAGCAGACTATTGGTTAGGAAACTTGGAACCTTTTCCATCGGCGATTTTGGTAGTGAAGCTGGTGAAAACGGTCTTGCCGTGCTCGGAGTAAATGTCCAGTTGCTCTGCCGACGGTCCAAAGTGGTCGGTGACTTCTTTCAGAAATTTGGGCTCGATACTCCACTCATTCGTCGCTCTGGACCTGTCAAATGTTGCATGCTGGATATAGACGGGCTCGTACGTGAGCTTGTAGAGTTTGATGACACCTGAGTCGTCAGTATTAAGATACCCTTGCAGTAGAGGGCAGGGTTAATCACCGAGTCCGCATGTTAGTCTGATGACGAGGCGACACTCCGTCTCATCGGGATTATCTTGCAGCTCGAACTCGCATCGTTCGACCGAGGTGTCCTTGTTACGGCCGCTTGCTCTTCCTTTGAAGACGGACACGAGAGCCTACTCCAATGTTAGCTGAAGAAAACCCCCTTGATGGCGGTTGATTTAGCCCAGGGACCACCCACTTTGATCAACACCTGGCAACAGAACTTATGTGATTGAACACCTGCAGACATATTGCGTCTATCTACCCCAAATGAGTAGGATTCGAAGAACTTGTCTGCATCGAAAGCGAAGGCGGCGTAGGCTGTCTTGGTGGAGTTCAGGACGCTCAAACGAAGCTTGATTTCGTCTGTGTGAGTTACTCCAGGACTTCCAAGCTACACGGAGACAGCATCACGTACCAGATCGAATTCGGCTTCAAATGATACATTGTCGCCAAATTTACCCAGGCACATCAATGCATCGTGTAGTTGATAGATCGCCTCCGGGGAGAGGGAGAACGATAGGGAGGCCATGTATGCTTCTTATCGAGAATGAGTGACGAGAACTAGGATCACGAGCGGTGCTCTTGTGTCCTTCTCTACACCCCCTGATTCCTTATCACGCCGTCTATCACAAATTGTCTTTGTTTGGTCTCGGATAAGTTCTCCATGAGTGATGCAAACCCGCCGCACGTCGACCGCAAACACGACGCGAGATTACATAAGCGCGTATGTACTGAGAGGACTGGCGGTCCTACAGTATCTCTCCTTCACGAGACAACCTTCAAAGAACCCTTCCCGCGCGAGGACTCAAGGCCAAGCACCTCTTGTCGAAGCATAATACGCCTATTGAGCTATCTTGGTTACTTTGTGGGAATTTGCAGGCAACCGGGAGCTCTGCGCTGCGAGGATGGGATTCGTCTTGGCCGATGACGTCCTCTGTATGATCTTGGATATCCTGGGAGATGAGCGAGACCACAACAGCTTATTTCAATGCGCCATTTCGTCGAGATACTTTACCGCTCACTCGCTAGCTGTGCTGTACAAGTATGTTTCTCGTCCTTTGTTTTGCCCTCCTTCGTTCCCATGAGGTGGGTATTTACTGATACTCCCTGCAGAGTGTGCCATGCGTCACCGGTACGGGGCGGAGGGACGGAGGATGAACAGTTTCTCAACCCGCGCAGACGCTTTACATTTAATGCATCAGTGAGGCGCGAGGTTGATTCTACTGTGCGGAAGTGGGCACTCTTATGGCGATCCATTGCTTTATCGGCTTTGGATCTGACCTACCTGCCTTACTACAGCTACCTTCGTTATCTAGATCTGGATGATCTGGGAGATCTGCTGAAAGATCCGAACTTCAGCGGGCGGATACGAGAGTAATACATGCTCCAGATATCAGCTATAAGTAATTGAAACACTGACGGGCCGATTGTAGCGACTTTTTCACACCGGGACTCTTAGAGATTGCTTCTTCCGACTACCAGGCGAAAGGCAACAAACGGCTACGGTCGTCGTTCAAGGGCCCCGATCCCAGTGCCGACTCGGTCAAGCTTAAGATTGGTTCCGGTCTGTCTACCCCTTCTTGACTTTATATGATGACATGTGAGATGAAGAGCTAACGCCGACCAGCTATTGTGAAGAAGGCAAATTCTATACGAGGGATGTCGCTCAATGGTAAGCCCAACTTCTAAGCTTGGCCAGTGCATGTTATGGGTCTTGCTAATCACCTTTCTAGTCCCCCCCGAAACACTATCCGAATGGGTCGGAGGGCTGCCCTTGCTGCAATCACTGACGGTATGGTCTGGCGAGGCTCTGAGCGAACATGCTGGGACCCAGCTCCGTCATCACTGTCCGAAATTTAAGCAGCTCACCATCTATTCTTGGTATCGGCCCAAATACGCCACTGAATTTCTTTTGAATGCAGTACTGACGAGTGCACAGGAGAGACCGTCCGCCTACAACCGCGGAAGCTGAATCCGAACAGTTCCTCGACCAACTAGGGCCAAACACATTGGAAACTTTCGAACTGATCAGCCTGAGCCAGCTTGGACCTCGCTCCATTGTGGCTCTGGGCTCACACCGGCAATCGCTATCAGAATTGAAGTTGACGAGCCTCACAATCGATGGCATCGCCCAACTGCCCTCTCTGACAGCCCTTCCCTCGTTGAGGGTCTTAACTTTAACGGACTCGGTTCCATCCGCGCGGGATGAGAGATTTTATATGATTGTCTCGCAAGTCGCCGAGTGGATTGGCAGCTGTGAATCATTGCGGCAACTGGAAGTGAGACGATTTGTCGATGATCCCTTCCTGTTATCACGGACATTGATCAGCGAAGGGGTCAAACTGACTAGTCTTTCGTTGTCTCGGTATAATATGGCAGGCAGTCAGGCCTTTCATGAAGCCCTTGCCTGCCAGCAGACTCTGCGAACTCTCAATCTTAGCGGTGAATCCTCCTTTTCCAACCGTGACAACGAGATCCTAGTACAAGCACTGAGCCAGCTGAGTAATTTACGTGAGCTGGACCTCAAAGACATCTCCGACGGCTTTTCCCAAGATCATGTCATGGCCTTGACCGCGTTCCTTCCCCGTCTGGAAAAGCTTTGGATAAGCGGCGACTTTTTCGACGATACCGTTTTTCAGGCCTTCACACATCTATCGAAGCTGGAGAGCCTTGTAATCCCCGCCTTCAGCAAGTTCACTGCCGATGGGATCCTTGACTTTATCTCGCAGCTAGGGCCTGGTAATAAAGGCTTCAACCTGTCAATCCTGAATGCAGTAGATAGCACTCTCACTGAGGAGGCGCAACTCCTGATCAGTGAAACTCTGAAGGCGAATCTGGACGGGTCCTTTGACTATGGGATTGTACAAGGTAAATATCAGGGCTCCACTGGTGTCGGATAACGCTAACAGACAGCAGTGGACGATAGCGACATGAGTTCAGAGGATGGGCTATATGTATGACGTTGTCAATGCTAGTCCTGCAGCAAATCAATTGAATCCTTGACAGTGACAATGTAATTTTTTCGTTGGGTAAAACTGTGTCGGTCATTGGTATGAAAAATCCGAATTATTGAGATGTCACTTTACGTAGTTAGAGATGCGTTGGTGTTCGCCCACTATAATAGGCAGTGTAAAACCACTTTAACGGGATTGGTGGGTTGCGCGTCGCAACCGCGTTTTCGACACGCGTGGAATCTGCCTCTGCCTCCGCCTCCGCGCGATTCCCGCCTTTCCTGTCGGAGCAACAGCAGCTGGCAACTCTCAGCCCCCCCCTCCTCCCTTCCTCAGAACCCACTTTCTGACCCATTCTTATTCTAAGGCTTGTTCGAAATTGATTTGACCAAGTGAACGGCTTTTCATGGACTCTAGCTCTTCATAAGAAGAACCAAGGACATTCGGGTCGCCATGTCTGCCCGTGCCAAGTTAGCAGAGTTGCGCGCTCTCCGCGCCGCGGGCAAGAAACGCCTTTCCACGTATGAGGTGGAGGAACAGGGCGATGTCTACGAAGAGGTCGATGACGAAGGGTACAAGAAGATCATCCGCAATCGGCTCGACCAGGACGATTTCGTGGTCGACGACAACGGCGAAGGATACGCGGACGACGGTCGCGAAGTGTGGAACGAGCGCGGCGCCGACTACGATAGTGAGAGCGAGGACGATGAACTGCCTGCCCGGAGCAAGGCTGCCAAGCGGAAACGTGAAGAAGAGAAGCAGAGGAAGGAGAAAATCAACAACGGGATCTCGAAATACTTCAACAGCGGGGCTGCGCCGTCCGCCCCGAAGCCCAAGGTGAGTTTCTTGGTTGTCCCTCGGGTTAAGGGTTGCGTGAAGGCTTGGGTCTTGATGGAGGAGGGTCTAGAAATTGGGCTTTGTTCTAACTTGCTGCGGCTTTTTTTCCACTTTAGCCAGTGGCTACCGCAGAGGATGACGCCTTCATGGCTGACCTCCTTGGAGAGGTCGATACCAACGTCGTTCCGCAACGCCTACCGACCCGAAATATCGTCAAGTCCGAGACTCGACGCAAAGTCCGGATCCTGTCCCCACCACTCTCGGACAGAACGCGAAAGGATGCGCATATCAAGAAGGATGAGAACAGTGATCCGGTCTCCCCGGTAAAGGATCAGTCGGACATGAACATGGACGACGACTTTGATGATGGTCCGCTTCCCAACATGGATGATGAGGACTTTCCCATGAGTGACCCGATGCCCTCATCGCCTATCAGCAAGGCCATCGAGAGGAAGACGGCTGTGTCGGTCAAGGTAGAAGAGTCGGACGAGGATGACACCGACCTGATGGAGGTCACGCAAGCTACCGGACAGAACGAAGCCAAGGCAGCAAGTATCAACATGGCTGGAAGCCGACCAGTGCCTAAGCTTAAGAAGGAGTCTTATCCTTCGATCGCCAGCTCTTCTCCTGCTAAGGCTCTACTTGACGTTGATGCATCTTGGAACGACGTCCGAAGCAAGCTGAACGTCCTCAGCAGCCCCGCCCACTCTGAGATGCGAACCTTCGGAAAATTACGTCCACAAGACGTTGTTGAGGAGGATGGAAGCTTACGTATGTTCTGGTTGGATTTCACTGAGGTCAACGGGAGTCTGTGCTTGTTTGGAAAGGTGAAGAATAAACAGACGGGCTCCTATGCCAGTGCTTTCGTCAAAGTCGACAATATCCTTCGGAAACTATACTTTCTTCCCAGAGAGAACCGTCACAAGCATGGGCGCGAGACCGATGAAGAGGTGGATATGGAAGATGTCTATCGCGAAGTAGACGATATGATGTCGAGGTTGAGAGTGGGAATGCACAAGATCAAGCCGTGCACGCGCAAGTATGCGTTTGAGGTGCCCGGCATTCCGAAAGAAACGGACTATTTGAAGCTTCTCTACCCATATGATAAGCCTGCATTGCCCATGGACGTCAAGGGGGAGACATTCTCCCACGTCTTCGGTACTAACACGGCATTGTTCGAACAATTTGTGCTCTGGAAAAACATCATGGGTCCATGTTGGCTTAACATTGAAGAAGCGGACTTCTCAGCTGTCAACAATGCCTCCTGGTGTAAGTTTGAATGCCAGGTATCGAAGCCTGCGCTCATCTCTCCGGTGCCCGATACCGAGAATCTGGACGCACCGCCCCTCACATTAATGAGTCTTTCGTTCCGCACGCAACTCAACGTCAAGGAGAACAAGCAAGAAATTCTGGTGGCCAGTGCCAGAGTCTACGAGAATGTCTCTCTCACGGACACTACTCCCCCGGAGAAGCTGCCTTGCAAGACTTTCACAGTTATGCGGCCGGTAGGCACCTCTTATCCCATGCACTTCGAAACCGAAACCCGGAAACAACGAGGTACTTTCATGCTGGAAAGGAGCGAGCAATTTCTGCTCAGTAAATTCCTGGCACTGTTCGAAAAGATGGATCCTGATGTTCTTATGGGGCACCAGCTCCAGGAGGTTGATCTCAGCGTTCTTCTCAACCGGCTCAAGGAAAAGAAGACGCCAGGATGGCACCGCCTCGGACGACTGAAGCGTGG